TTGCTTGCAATTTTTTTTCAAATTTATTTTCAAAAGATAAACGCAATTGTTGTAAGCATTAGCTCTTATTAGAAACCCTTTAGTTAGCTCTTCGTTCGACAAAGATGATGCTCTATAAAGCCGACGCTAGCCGATTTTCTCTTTCTAAATTCGATGTGTAATATTAAATGACACTAATTTTACAAAAAAAAATGCGTAAAATTAGTTTAATTTAATGTGTAGTATTCGCGTAAATATAAGCAATTATTCGATGTATATATACTGGCCGCTACTGAACTTTTAAGAACTACTATTAATTTTTCAGGTTATAACTCGAGGGGGTATAATCTACCGATGGGGTGCCACGACGCAATGTCCAGTTGCAAGCTCCACCAACCAAATCCAGTCAGTGCCAAGGAACAGCACGTGCAACGCCAACCTGGAGAAACTCGTTCCCGACTTCGATCTCCACTTAAACAATCTCGACGTGGATCCCAACCAGCTAGACGTGAACACTTCGGACTCGTTGCTCGATAGACATTTGCTCAGGGTCGTGTTGCCAATCAAAGTGACACATCAGATGTGCCCGGATAGCCATTTGCTGGCGTATTTCTATCACAACGGTGAACTGGTCAGCGCGAGCAAGCATTTCGAAATGGACGAATGTTTTGGCAATAAGGTACAATTTACTTTTTAAAAAGAATTTCTTTAAAAAAAAGACGTTACCCCCACACTAGGATTTTCTCCTGTATCGTGGAGGCAGTTAAACATAAATTGCACGAGGACAAACATCCAGACCCGGAACAATTATTTGCAGGTCATACAAATACTTGTTCCGTGCGGGATTCGAACCCGCGGCCCTCAGCGCAGCAACTCATTGCTAATCCACTGCGCCATGGAGCCGTCTAGTAACGATATGAACGTTACTAATCCACATAACAAGCCTATCAATGTCCCATTGGTAAACACAGGCCTCCCCTGTAGATTGCCTCATATGGGAGATATTGTCACGGGCGAGTTGGCAACCACAATTTTTTTTCTTATCAGGATGATGATGTTGACCATCTCCTGTTTCAATTTCTCTCTGTCACCTCTTACGGTATCCACAGGATATTCTTACACCGCAACTACACGGTTTCACGTTATAAATACTCCTGTTAATCAAGCCAAGTAAGCTTAAAAATGCTGGTATTACGAATTGTTCTCTATAGTAGTCGAATGGCGGATTTCATTTTTTATAGGATAGGGTAACAAAGGAGCACGGTCAGGTCACGACGTGTACCAGGTCAGGTTTCACGAGACGTCGGTAAGTGGTTGCTGTGACCCATAGACAATACTCAATAAAGAATCAAAACCGTGTAGTGAAAAGAATATCAACTATCGTCGTGGAAATCGTAAGAGGCGATAGATGTAAATAAACCAGGATGTGGGTAGCAAGTCTTCTTTATACAGCTCCGTGGTGCACTGGCTTGAGTTGCAGCACTAAGGGCCGCGTGTTCAAATTCCGTACGGAACAAATATTATATAAATATAATCCTTTATATTACTTAATAATCCTTGTGCAATTTATTTTTGTAAAATGCCTCCACGATACAGGAGAAAGTCCTAGTGAAATGGTAACCTTTTTTTTAGAAAAATAACAACTAAAAAGGTGTATCAACTATGACGAAATCGGCTCTACGAAGCAATCTATGGGAGAGACCTATGTTCCGCAGCGGACTGTAGTAGGTTGTAATGTATAGATGGATGGAGTGAAACAGTATAGCGTGGTGGTGCAGGTGGAAGCGAGCTGGACATCTCGTCAGAGTGCTCCCGGTGCGCTGGCCACGATGCAGCTGGTAACAGCTGGGCCGGCGCTGTGCGCGCTCTCGGTGCTGGACACTGCGGCCACGTGGCTGCAGCCGCAGCGCAGCGTGAGAGACGTCCTCGTGCACGACCTGAAGCGGCTCATTGACACGCACAGGAATCTCACGCAGTACGACGCGGCCGCAGAGTGTTTCTTTAGTGAGTACATTCATATAGATTGTTGTTGACACAGTGGCTTAATTGAATTGCTGATGACCGCGGGTTTGGAAATGAGAACACTAAGTTAACTGACACATTAAAATAGATATCACAAAAGAGTGACTTTCAATAAGTATTATTTATAATCTATATTGGATAAAAAAGTTAAGAAAGGAATCTATAATGTTCTTGGAATGGTTCTGAGGTTTCGGTTGGTGCAGTTACAGCATTTGGAACGTATCGCAAAAATAACTTTGTCGACACTTTATAAGAACCGAATATTGATAATTTGTAAGTTTTTTTATTTCCTTTGTAAACACTTAATGATCTACCGTGATGCCGAAATTTTAAGTTTCTAAGTAAACAAGAAGTAGCCTAGGTTTTTTAATTAGTGAGTCAATGAATCGAGCAGTGAGAAATAAAAATTGTAATTTTCAAAGATTATAACTCAAGAACTATAATAGACTTATCAATAAAGTTATTCAATGTGTCTGTTCTTTATTAGATGTGTAAAATGATAAGTATGTAGATATATTTAATTACAAGCGTTTGAAAATGGCTCGAAATGACTCTGTAAGTACCTATAGACACGACACATATCTTTATACGTAGTAGAGCCATGCTGCAGCTATATTTATTGTATAGTTGTAGCACGAATAGATCGGCTCGACCGGGGAAGGACCACACACTCACAGAATATCAGCGTAAAATAGCAACTTAACGCTGCTGTGTTACGTATGGTGAGTGAAAGGAACCGGAGACCCCTTTTACTGGAAAAGAGGCATTCCATCTTAGTCCTCACGGGTGACAACGCATCTGCATTTTGATTCGCAAACGAGGATATATGTGGATGTCTATGGGCCACAGCAACCACTTACCATCAGATGGACTGTGCTCGTTTGTCACCATATCTTATTAAAGAAAAGAAATTGGTCTGAGATGATGGGACTCCTTTTATCTAGGAGTCCGTCTGGGTGGGTACCACCGTCTTACCTATTTCTGCCACCACATAACCGTTCTTACATTGCTGTATTCCCGTCTTTTTTTTAGAATTAGGATGACAAACAAGCACATAGTCTACCTGATGGTTAATGTATGCTGTGGCCCATAGACATGTAGATTTATCCTCGATTAAGAACCAAAATGCACATGTGTTGTCATTCCTGAGGACTAAGATCTCGTTTCCAGTTAAAAGAGTCTCCGGTTCTCTACACTCACCATACGAAAAGCCAGCCTAAAATAGCCTTAAGCTGCTCACTCTGCTAACTTCGGTCGAGCCGACTGATTCGTGCTACAGTTAATATAGCTGCTGCGTGGCTCTACCATGTAAGTTTAAAGCTTCGTTCAAACCGAGGCGAATCCCGCGCGGGACGTGGGATGCGAATCAGCGCAATTCGCTCGCTCACATAACCTCCCAAACTGAGGCGAATCCCGCACGTTATTAAGAGTATAGGCAAACCTGTCTTTTGATATTAAATCTGAGGTTTCGTTGGTAATAGCATTAACTGAAGACGAATCTCAAGATGTGAGGAAGAAAAGAAGAAAATGGGTTCATGAGCCGAGTATTCAACGCATAGAATTTGGAGAGTTTCACTCTTTGATTTTCGTATGCTAGAAGAATGCTATAATTAAATATAAGGTTCAACGGCATTTTGAAAAATCAGGCCCTATCTCGTGTATATTTCGTAGCAGTACGTGCGTAATTCGCGCCAATGTGAACACATCGATACAAGTTAGCTGACGCAATCGGTGCGAGCGAATCGCGTTAATTTGAACGAAGCTTAAGGGTATAGAGAATCAGTATGGCTTTATGTTAAATTCTAATATAAGATGGTGATTCTCGCAATTCTGACGACACCCATGTAACATCTCAGGGTGGAAGGAGTGCCTAAAAACCAGTGCTTCTAGGGATCTTAGTCCCATGTAAACAAAAGCTGAGTCACCTTCGATCGCCTAAATTTAATTAAAATTAGGTACTTAGTTTACATGTAAATCTATTTATCGAATGTGGCAATAAAGTGAAATTATTATTTAGTCACGCTGTAAGGCGTATGCAGTGACCACTTACGGAGGGGCACACTGAAATGATCGGGAATAGAATATTTCGGATTGAGTTACAATAAATACCTTTTTTAGATTTTAAATACTGGCCTCTTAGAATCTTAATGACATTCAAACAATTAAAAAAATGTTTAAAAACAAAAACTACGTTGGTTTAAATTTGACACGTCGTTAACAGAAATGCAGCTCACGCGTGAACATTTCCGTGTCATAATTTATCACAATTTTCATAGCGGCTTATATCAAGATAAATGTCTCAGTGAATTCGTTTCGATTTATGATGTTGAAGCACCGAGTCAAACGATAATATACCGTTGGTATGCCGAGTTCCGACGTGGTCGTGTGGCGCTCAGCACTGTTATTTTTTTTTAGGGCGACCAAGAACAGCGGTCACGCCTGAAAACAACGCAGCCGTGCTAACTATTATATTAGATGACCGTCATGTGACATACGAGCAGATTCGGGCTGTTATCAGTATCGGAATGACTGCAATTCAGTCGATATTACATAATGAGCTGTGTCTAAGAAAGCTAGTTTCCCTCTGGATTCCCCACAATTTGTCCGAAGAGCAAAAGACGGCTCGTGTAGATTGGTGCCAGAATACTCTGCAACGCTTCAACGGAGAGAAGTCAAATGCCGTTTATAATATCCTGAAACCTGAAAGAAAATATCAGTCAGCAGTTTGGGTCTTCGAAGACGAGGTCAAACTAACGAAAGTGGTTCGCTCCCGCAGCGTGTCAAAGAAAATGGTCGCTACGTTTGTCTCGAAAAAGGGGCACGTTGCTACAATTCCTTTACACGAACGCAGAACGGTTACCGCTGAGTGGTATATCACGGTTTGTTTGCCAGAAATGATAGCCAAACTTCGAAAAAATAACCCGAAACGTCGCATCATCTTACATCACGATAATGCGAGTTCCCGTTGAGCTGATGAGCCATCCTCCGTACAGACCTGAGCCCAAACGATTTCTTTACATTCTCTAGAATTAAATATTTATCACGCAGTCAACGTTTTGAAGACCCCGAAGCAGGTGTGGAAGCGTACAAATCAGCCATTTTGTCAACATCAACTTCAGACTGGAATTACTGTTTTAATGATTGGTTTGCATGAATGGAAAAATGCATTAAGTTGAACGGAGAATACTTCGAAAAACATTAAAATACAACTTAGTTACACCGTGCATGTGGTTTTCTTATTCCCGATCATTTCAGTGTGCTCCACGTACTTGCAGGGAGTATACGTTTGCAACTAGTTATTTTATATTGTACTGCAGTGAGTGACACAGCAGACAGGTTATAGAGAGTCAGTATAATCACAGGATCTGAGGTATTATATCTTAGGCCCGTATTAATAAACGTTACTTAATTATGAACTCAAGTGCGTAATTATTTGATACGATCATTACGATATCAGCGTCTCAAGATCGTTTCTAATTAATAAACACATAAAACAGTATCTCAAGACGCTGTACTTAGGAATACTTTTCTGTGACTTGCCCTCAAGTACACACACTTAAGAGTCGAGTTTCGTTTATTAATCAGTGTGGCACTCAGCTGATATCGTAAACCTAAACCGCATCTTGAGATATGTTTATTAATAAAATCATAACCTGAAGATTGTACTCAATTGTGTGTACTTGAGCTGAGTAACGTTTATTAATACGGGCCTTAGTCTCCAGAGTTGAAAACGCATCTGTAGCCATCGCTTGAAGTAGTTTTCACTGGTTTTCGAGGATATTAGTAGATGTCTATGATCCACTTATCGGATGGACTTTGTGCTCGTTTGCCGCTGTAATTCTAAAAGAAAAAAAAGTAGTTTACAGGTGTTTAGTAAGCACTATCCATCAGGTAGAGACTGTAAGGTCGTTTGTGAGAATTTGTTGATGATTGTGTCCGCAGCGGGCGACACAGCAGAGCTGGCGAGTGATGTTGGCGGCTGGGGCGCGCTGAGCGCGCGGCTGGCGGCGGGCGGCGTGCGCGCGCTGGGCGGCGCGCCCGCCGCCGCGCGCTGCGACTCCGCCCCCGCGCCGCTGCTCGACCAGCAGCCCGCGCTCCCCAGGACCGACTTCTCCGAGGTCACCTCACATATTACCTTGCCACACTCCGCTCTTCTCAACACCTTACTTTGATTATGCTTATATACCTACTCATACGTCCATGGATACACATTTACAGTTATAGTGTTAGAGCCACACGGTAGCTGTATCCTGCTGATCTGTGGTTGAATGGCTCACTTCAAATGGTGTAAAACCACACTCTCACAAAAAATAATATATTTGCACACCGCGGTTTAATACCGTAGTAGAGCCACAATACACCTTTATATAATATAATATATATAATAGTTATAGCACGAATGAGTCGCCTCGACTGGGGAAGAACCAAGCTCCTACAAATTGACTCGTTGTACTTTTGCCAGTGTCAACTAATAAACAATACTTATATAAATTTTATTTATTAATTTATTTAAAATCGAACCAACCTTGAATCTGGTATAGTTTGGTGTCGATTATTATTTTTTTTTATAGAAAAAGAGGCAAACGAGCATACGGCTCACCTAATGGTAAGTGACTACCGACACCCATGAAGAACCGCAACACCAAAGGAATTGCAGGTGCATTGCCAGCCTTTTAAAAAGGAGTAAATTCTTTTCTTATAGTTCCATAAGTCGTATCGGTCTGGAAAAATCGCTGGTGGTAAAAAATTCCACAGAGAAATTGTGCGAAAAAGAAAACTCCTAGTAAAACGCACAGTGGTAGCGCACCAAGCATCCAGATGGTGAGGATGGTATCGCGAATTTTGACGCGATCTGCGTTTGTGAAATTTGGCGACTGGAATTAATCCGAACAATTCCGCAGAGCACTCCCCGTGGTAGATGCAATAGCAAATGCAAAGGGATTTAACATCTCTACGCAGCGCAAGTGAATCGAGCCGATCAGAAAGAACTTGGTCGATTCGAACCGCTCTGCGCTGGATGCGGTCAAGTAGAAGGAGCTGACACTGGGGTGCCCCGGCTCAGAGATGAGAACAGTATTCCATGTGAGGCCGAACTTGCGCTTTGTAAAGTTGCAAGCGATGTACCGGCATGAAATACTGTCTTGCTCTGCTGAGCACGCCAAGCTTTTAAGAAGCCAATTTGGCCTTCCTTTTTAAGTAACCACGAAACTGCACGTCACTCGATATGTCGACGCCGAGGATTCCGATGCTAGTTGAGGCACAAAGGGGTTCTTTTTAGCGGTAAACTCGCAAACTGGTGTCTTCTGGGGATTGAACTGAACTAGATTTAATCGCCCAAAATCTGAGACTTTGTTCAGCAAAGACTCGACTTCAGAGTTTGTCCAGGTACTTGGCGAAGTTTTCCCAAGAAATGTTGGCACAGCCGCTGTAAAAGGCATCACCATTGCTGTCATCCGTAAAGCAATGATAGTTACCGGTTTGCAACATATCATTGATATGCAGAAGAAACAGCATCGGTGATAGCACGCAGCCTTGTGGAATACCAGCGTTGATAGGCTTGTAATCAGAGCACGCACCATCTGCTATGACCTTGATGCTCCGATCAGCAAGGAAACTGGTGATCCAATTGTATAATTTCACGGGAAGCCCATACTAATGGAGCTCCGAAAGAAGTTCGAAGCCCGATCGAAGGCCTTCGCTATGTCCAAACTAACGGCCATTGCCTCCCGCTTGGACTCTACTGCCTCCGCCCATATATGAGTCAGGTAGACCAGAAGATCACCAGCTGATCGACCCCGACGAGAACCGTATTGGCGGTCACTAATCAGCTGGTGATCCTCAAGGTACCTCATGAGCTGGCAGTTTATAATGGATTCCATTATTTTGGAGAACAAGGAGGTGATGGCGATAGGCCTGTGGTTGGACGGATCTAAGTAGTCGCCTTTTTTAGGGATCGGGTGAACCAAAGAAGCCTTCCCTGAATTCGGGACAACACCTAGGGAGTAGGAGTACAGAAGAAGACACGTTAAAACCGGTGCCAACTCCGGAGCACACGTCTTCAGCACAATGGGAGGGACTCCATCAGGCCCACTCGACTTGCTTACGTCCAGGGAGAGGAGTGTTTTGCGAACTGAGCGCTGTATAGACCTCACATCCTGCATGGAGCACTCATACCGCGGGATGGTCGGCGGTGTGTTCTTCCATCATCGAGAATCGACTTGAATACAAAGATGAGATGGAAGAGACGGCTGACAGAAGTTCCCTTGGACAGCCTTGGCGAGAGATCAGAATGCACGGGTTCCTGAAGGAAGGCGAATTAGTTTCTCCCCAATTCTGCCGATGTGTTCAAACCTTGCCTTGGCAATGACTCCTTTGAAGGACCTGTAGGCGGAATTATACTTCTTTTTAAGAGCGCTGGTGTTTACATCCCGAGACGTTGATGCGGCACCCCAATAATCGATTAATAATTGATAATCGATTATTAATTCGATAATCGATTATTCGATTATCAATTATTTAATAATGTTACGAGCTTGAGGTTCGAGACAATTAAAAACAGCCGATTGAATTACCAAAATTGACACTTTAATTACACAACACTAATTACAATCTAAAATCACACTAATAATAAAACACAGTTCGCCGTTATTTCGCTTCGAAGTATTCTCTTGTATCGCCAATTCAATACTGCCCCGGTCGTGGTCTATACCGGCCTTATATAGGGCCTCAGATAGTTTCCAGAACCTTCTACTGTAGCGACATCTAGAATGTTCGAGTACATTTCGGTCCCGAAATTTCTGGAAGGTCTCGACTCTCCTAGTTCTGCTACTCGACACTAGAGGGCGCTAGTGTAACTAGGGTTGCCATATACAAGACATTAATAGTGGCGTGCAACACTTTCTTTTACGCGACACTAGAGGGCGCTAGTGTAACTAGTGTTGCCATGTACAAGACATTAATAGTGGCGCGCAACGATAATAATCGATAGAAGAGTACGAAAATAATCGGTTATCAAACATCACTGTTATAACTCTAATACCCCATTTAGACTCTCGCCTCGCGCCTCGCCTCGTACCTCGCCTCGCAGCTCGCGTGTTGTTGCGAGGTAACGAGTGCCTGTTTACACTCTCGCGATGCGTTCAGTTTGCTTTGAACCAGCAACGATGGAAGACGTCGAAATAATAGCGGCATCAACTCTTGCCTTAATAAATATTTATCAATGCTTGACCATTTTAAAAAGAAGGAAATTAAAAAAATTCATATATTTTTTCATAGATTTCATAGATTGCTTTTTTCTTCGTAGGTATTGACGAAAGGTAGCCATAAATGAATTCTTTTTTACTTTGAGCTCTGCTAGCGGTCTGCACATAACCTCGGAAATTCTATTCCACGCATCTTTGACTTTTTGGGTATTTTTATGCATAATATGTTTTGGATCCCAAATTATTCGCTCAGCCTGATCGAGTTCCAAGAACTGCAGCGTTTCTTCTTGCGACTAGTCCATTTTTAATTGAAGTTGAACGTGTAAACCCAACAAAACAACATAACCTGCACGGAAGGGCGCCGTAAACAAACTGAAACGAGAGCGCGAGTGTAAACAGCACGCTCGCGTCCCTCGCGAGGCCCTTTGCCTCGTGCCCAAAAAACCTCCTCCGACGCGAGCGCCGCGAGTGGCGAGGCGAGCTGCGAGGCGAGCCACGAGCTAGCGTTTACACTCGCGCCTCGTGACTCGCCTTGCGACTCGCCTCGTCGCTCGCGCGAGAGTGTAAATGGGGTATGAAATTTAGTGCTGCAGAAATGATTGCGCGTAATTGTATTAAATCGCAAATTAAATTTGATAAAACTGTTTCAGGCGTGGCTGTGGCGACTGGTGGCCGTGGGCCTGAACGGTACGGCCAGCAGCACGGCGCGCGCGCCCGACTGCATCACGCGCTACGAGGCGTCCGCGCTCTGCGTGTCGAGGACGGGACTCGCTATATCCAACCCGGCTGTTCTACAAGTCAGTATTTCGTATCGTATAATCTCTCAAAAGAAACTCGTTTGCCTAATGGCGCGTAATTTCCGTAAGCGCGACTGCCGACTATTGATTATAAGTTAGTTCAGTCGGCAGACCACTCCAACCCCACATGTCGGTCACCTCGTGAGCGAGGTCCAGATATTTTGTCTGCTTATCTGTCTCGCCTTTCACGAGGTTCTCGTCATAAAGAATGGTAATGTCGACCAAAAATATATTTTGACTGTACACGGTCCACCAGTACAATATCAGGCTTATTCGCAAGAATAGTCCTGTCTGTGATGATGGCCCGGTCCCAGTAGAGCCTGGCGCGGTCATTTTCGAGCACAACTTCCGGCAAGTACTTGTAATAAGGCAGTTTCCAATCCATAAGACCGTATTTCAGAACGAGCTCCTGCTATGGAATCCTGGCTACTAGTTTGTGTCTGTTCAAATACTCAGAGCTAGAAAGCACCGAACAACCGGAGATAATATACCTAAGTGAATCACCGGGAAGGCAACAAGCTCGACAGATGTCGACGGCGCCATCCTTTAGGATGTATTTCCGATAATTGTTGGTCTTAATAACCTGATCCTGTATCGCACAGACAAAACCCTCGGTTTCCCCAAAGAGGTCACTAAAACGTAACCAATGGAGGGATACAGCTGTGTCTACGAAAGGTTCATGTAGAACCTTGTAGAACCTCCCGTGGAGCTCCTTCTCCTTCCATACAGTCTCCTGGTCGAAAATGCACTGTACTTCTGGGTTTTGCCATGCTCGTTGACTAAGGATAGAGGAGTAAGCCCTTCATCACCTGAAATGACGTCACTGTAGAATGGATCATCCGATATCGCAAGGAAGTAATTACGAAGGCTGCACACTTCGCGATTATGCATGGTGAGAGCGCTCAAAAAGCCGCGCTTACCGTGTTTCCGCGGCAAGTACAGCCTCATTACTGACGATCTCGGGTGATGCATCCTGTGAGACGTCGTAATAGTGCGGACTTTTCTATCCCGAGCGTTCAGTTCGGTCTGAGTCCACCTGAGTATGCCAAATGTATACATGAGAACAGGCATGATCCAACCGTTATATGCATGTGTCTTATTAACGCCCGACAAAAGACTGTTGACATAAAACACATCGCAAACTGACTGTTTCATATCCGCCTCATCGATACCTATGTTCTGTGACATACCCAAGTATCGGTATGTTTCAGCCTCGGATAGGGTCCTGATGTTGATGTTTCATAAATAAGTCTCTGCCCTCAGAGTTTGCAACCCTTTAGACATGGAGAACCACACCTTTATCCGTCCCCAGCTCCATTCTAATAGAATTGCAAAAATCACGAGTGATGTTTAGCAGATACTTTATTTTTTCTGCGTAGATCGGAGCAAAAATCAATAATTAAAAGTTGAAAGTTGCCTTCGTTAACTGTGACATCAGGACATCAAATAACTCAGAACCCCCCTGAACGTGAATGCTTTAAAGTGCCCGAAATGTTGCGAATTAAAAAGTAAAAATTAAACGTGTATAATTCCGTGTATAAATACACTGAATGGTTTAATATCGAAAAAGGTGTTAGACAGAGATGTGTAGCGTCACCGTGGCTGTTTAATCTGTTCATGGACAATTGGTTGACAGATTTAAAAGAGAATGAAAGTGGGTTGAGAATGAATGAGTTACTCGTCAAATGTTTTCTCTATGCTGATGACCAAGTATTACTTGCGTCTTCGGCCGAGGAGTTGCAGGAGATGGTAACTGCTATGAGTGGAGCTTTTGTTAGAAAGGGAATGAAGATGAATGTAAGGAAGACGAAAGTGATGGTGTTTGAAAAAGATGAGACAGTGACAGACTGCAATATTGTGATTGAAGATGAACAAATTGAACAGGTGAAAGAGTTTGTGTATCTGGGTTCAAAGTTTACAAGAGATGGAAAGTGTGAGAGTGATATCGAAAGAAGAGTGAATGCAGGAAACATGGTGAATGGAGCTTTGCACTCCTTTATGAGCAGTCGAAAGGTGTCTAACAAGGCTCGTTTGGCTGTGCATGAGGGGTGTTGGTTCCGACACCCATGTACGGAAGTGAAACTTGGGTATGGCAGAAGAAACATGAAAGCAGAATAAATGCAGTTGAGATGAGAGCATTAAGAAGTATGATAGGAGTTAAACTGAGTGACAGGATAAGAAATAGTGAGATAAGGAAACGTTGTGGTCTGAAAGAAGATGTAGTGACAAAAATTGAGAAAGGTATGCTGAGATGGTTTGGCCATGTCGAGAGAATGAATGAAGAACGATTGACGAAAAAAGTGTATAAGGCGAGTGTGAATGAAAGTGTAGGAAGGGGTAGACCGAGGCGGACATTTCTAGACCAAATCAGGGACGTCTTGAAAAAAGGCCAGGTCAAGAGTACCCTAAACCGTAGAGCATGTATGAAGGGAATAATGAAAGTGGACGAAGCAAAACAAGTATGTAAGGATCGTAGCAAGTGGAAAGAACTGGTGTCTGCCTACCCCTACGGGAAAGAGGCGTGATTATATGTATAAATCCGTAACGTTAGTTTTATTTCATTTAAAGTATTTTTAAATCTTCAATAAAATTTAAATCATTAAGGGTTATTATATTATTAAGGAATTTGAAGATGACAATAACCCCTGATAATGAGGTGATCGCTACTAAGCTGTATATAGTTGATTATATACATGATCAGTGCCGGATTATCCACGTAGCAAGAGTAGCAATTGCTACGGGCCCGCGCAAAAGGGGGCCCCGCGTATCCAAACCAGCCCATCACTGCCTAAACGTAATTTTTTCAGTAAAACTTAATAAGACATGGTTTACTGAATTTAATTGATGTCACAAAAACGTAAAACGTTACACCTTTCTCGACTAATAATATTATTTGAATCACTACTCACTAGTTGAAACAATTATTTTTATGTGGAATCTAGAATAAGTTCTTGTAAAAGTTTGCTATAATATTTGAATATCAATTAGTGTTGCCCAAATGCAAGAACAAGACGAGACTTAGCAAGTCTTGGTCTTGGTCTTGCGCCAATACACCTGGTCTTGGTCTTGGTCTTGGTCTTGCAGCAAGAGTCTCGCAAGTCTCGCAATTACCTATTAGCCTATTACTATTTATTAAACGTTACTTTAGAGCTTAGAACAACTTAACTGAGTAGGTACATATTGAGCTTGAATTAACATAGCCATAGTAAAGACCAACCAAATTAATAAATGTCTAAATATTTAATGAGAAATTCGAAAAATCAACTGACACTGGGGGTGGGGTTTGAACCCACGACCTAAGCGATCCGTGCCGATGCTCTAACCAACTGAGCTATGTACCGTGTCCCACGGCCACGGGCGTCAGTTTCTTGCATTTAAGAAGCTTACATATGCTAAAACACGGTTAAACATACATATAAAAACAAATTAATGGCAATAACTTAACTATATTTTAAATACCATTATCTCTCTAGAAAGAGATTGATGGACCTCACCATATATGAAATGGAATAAAAGAGTTATACAATATACAATTTATTTAAATAAAAAATAAAATACGATGCAAATTAAATTACTTCACAGTATGTATACAATAGCTTTGACATTACTGTTACTTTATATTAATTCTTTTGACAAATCATTAATACAAAGTAACCATCTGGCTGACTCATCACTTGACCTAATTTTCTAATTACTAATGATGGTTTAGAATATAATCTCTCAGCAGGTATTGAAGTTACAGGTATTGAAAGGAAGTTACAGGTATTGAAAGAAAATCACGGGCCACCTTCGATAAAATCGGATATTTTGGCTCATGCGTCCTCCACCAGTCTAAAATGTCTTCCGAGCTGGCGGCTCTGGGTTTACCTAGGTACCCCTCCAACTCGTTAATAACTAAGCCTTGAAGACAAGATCCAGATCCATTTTTACACATTTCAAGTGTTTTAAAAGTGTCAACCATATTTATCAAATGTGTGACGACATATTCGAGCACTGTATTTTTAAAACACACACTTCCAAAAGTCGAGATTTGCAGTGAACTTATTGAACATGTTTATCTAGTAGTTAATAATAATAATAAGTAATTATTATATTATTTTATTTTATTGATATTTATGTATGTTTATATATTTCGTTTACAATTATATATTTAAACAGCCCAACCAGATGAGAAAACTTTATAGATAACCCCAGTAATTATTATAAATCCATATAGTTAATGTTATAATAATTACTTACTAGAATAAATTATTATCATACCTACCTATCCTTACCATTATCTAATTACAATATTCCTTGCGAGATCAGCATAATGTATTCGTATCCATTCTGAGCACTTGGAAACTTATTTTATTCTTTGGAACATGTCCTCTGTCACAGAGTAAAGAAGACCAGAGGGGAAGCTTCCTAACAACGTCGAAAATCTATACCTATTCTGATAGGGCTATCACCTGATACATGTGAAAATTTTAAGAAAAAAAATACAAATATTATATAGTATAAAACAACATGTGTATTCATTGTAACTTAAGTTAATATAATAAGATGTCTGTTATTTTTAATTAAAATTGTAACTAGTGTCTACATAATGGCAGTAACAATGACCAATGAAAAAACTTTTCGCTTTATAGAGCCCTACCAAGCCGGAAATTGTTGGTGAAACACAAGTTTTTTAAGTCTTTTTTTTTAAAAAAAGCGGCTGCAGTTTACGAACATAAATTGCATAAGGACAAACATCCAGACCCGGAGCAATTATTTGCAGGCCATACAAATACTTGTTCTGTGCGGGATTCAAAGCCGCGGCGTCCAACGCAGCAACTCATTGCTAAGCCACTACGCCACGGAGCCGTCAAGAAATAAAATTTATTTTTTCCATTTCTTTTTGATCACCCTTTTCTTATACACATTCACATATTAGTGGTATGCTGTGAATAAATAAACCGTAGCAGCCGTTAGCGCATCAATAATCATTTTAATAAATTCGTCCGCACATTGGCCTG